CCTACTGGAAATAAATCTTCTTCTAGACTTTCGTGGGCTATCCAATTGGTGTTTACACCGAATAAAAAAAAATCCAATCCACATTGTAGGCTTTAAGGCCTATTTTTTTGTTTATAATACACATTTGTATTATGCAAATTTGCATACTACCCGCATGCATATTGCATTGACATATTTGTATTATGCAAATTTGCATACTACCCGCATGCATATTGCATTGACATATTTGTATTATGCAAATTTGCATACTCCTCGCATTGATATATTGTATTATATTGAATTGCTTCATGATATTAATCATAATGTTTTTGTTATGAGCATCATAAAATATATTAGTATGTATTTGTTGTATATTTTGTTTTTCATTTTGTAAATAAAAGACGCAACAAGGATTTCAGTTACTATGTGTTTTCTTTCATTACTATGTATCATTTGCAGTTGCTGCCGATACAAAATAAATGAATAAATCAATATCAGAGATTATGTTGAGTAGAAAATATATTCTGTAAACATCTCACCCCCGCCCCACCTCCACCCATACACATCCCCACATGCACCCAGGCGCCGGGATCCATTAATGACACGGGGTCCGTGCCCCTTTTGTGCCACTTTTTTTAAATATTCAATGCATATCAATGTTTTTTGCTACTCGCTTATTTATTTTAAAACTGTTATGTATACTTAGTATCTTATCTTTATGGCTGTCTGTTATACCCATCTAGATGTGTATAAGAGACAGGCACCTGGCAGCGTGGTCAGGTGTCTACTATTTAAATCTCTTTTTTTTTTATTGTCGATTTGGGTCAATTTTCCCTTGCTTGTTATAACTCGTTACGTGTATGCTAATGGTAATGGTGGGATATTTGTAGTGCACCTTCCACAATAAAATCGTTTCAAGGCGCCGAAGAAAATGTAGGACCATAAATTATAAAAAAATTAATTATATTATATCTACTGTGCTACTTGCATTGCGGTTGGTATTCTTTAACAACCTAGACACTGCAGTGCTAGTTTAATACGTTTGTAACTCCGTACCGCCTTTTACGAGTTATACATGGGGAAATATGTACCGATGGTTTTAAGAGTAGGATCGACATGACTGACAATATATATACACATTTTATATATATATATATATATATATATATATATATATATATATATTTGTGGTAAACAATATGTCGGAGAAACAAACAATATGTCGGAACAACAATATGTCGAAGAAACAAAAAACACTCTCCGTATGAGAGTGACACAACATAGATCAGCTATCAGAACATCTAAGCTTGATCAACCAGTAGCCGAATATTTCAATTTAGCTGATCATTCAATTTCAAATTTCAGAGTGATTTCAATTGACGATAATGCCAGTTGGAGCGACAAAATCGCAAAGATAAAGAGAATCACTGGGAACTTTTACTTAAAAAACCACACCATTTGGACTCAATATTAGGAACGTTCTCCCAGTACACTAAATTAAACCAATGGGCTTTCAATTTATTCCTTATAAATAATTTGGCTTATTTATTGAGGCTTGCCTCTAAAGTTTAGTTTTGGCCTTCCTGTTTACTTGTTTAGGCTGTTTATTCTAATTTCACCCAGCCTATTGTTTCCAATCATGCTTGCATGAAAATTCTCACTTTATACTATCTAGCTGTTTACTTACGTCTACTCTCCCAAACGGTTGATCCCTCTCACTCTTCATGACTTACACACAGATCACCTTGATTATATATAGGCCTATATATATATATATATATATATATATATATATATATATATTATATATAGGCTTATATGTAGGCTTATAACAAATTCCATCTTGTAGGTAAGCCTACTAGTTTTCATTCGTGTTCTGATTTATTAACAACTTGGATATTTCTGCCTCCTGTGGCCTTCATCTGCGAGATTAATGAAAAACATCATGAATCATTATTATATGGCTTACTTATCAAAAATAAATCTAAAGGTGGCAGTGAGCAAATTAGGGATACTAAAATAAATTGTAGAATGATTGACCTTTACCTATGTATACTTAGTATCTTATCTTTATGGTGCTGACCAACAATAGAGAGCATACTTGACGAGTCTCTGTTATTCACACCCTTGGTTCTTGATTATTGTAGACACTTTATTTTTGATAAGTAAGCCATATAATTATGATTCATGATGTTTTTCATTAATCTCGCTGATGAAGGGCACAGGAGTGGCAGAAATAATACAAGTGACTAATAGATCAGTGTTCTTAAAGTCTACTATTGAAGTTGTGGGTTTCGCCCGAACCATAACCTGTCTCTTATACACATCTTATATATATATATAGACAGACAAATGAAACACTGCACAGGCACAATTTGATAACAAGTTGACCATTAAAATCTATTGTAAATATTTAGTTAAATCCGTACACTGACTTTGTTTTAAGTTGTTTGTTTTCAATATTATAGCTGTTTCTTTACGATGACAATGTTTTGAAATCGTACTGTATACTCCAAAATTTGTTTTATGGGCAAACAATAGAAGGCTCTGAATTTTTACAAGTTGACCAAGCCTGTTGCTGCATTCATTATTGTTCAGTATTCAAGCAGAGAGCAGCAGGTTGATAATTTGTTTGTCCCACAGCTATTTAGATGCCGTTGTTGGTAACTTTTTTTTTTAAATTGTGAGTGTAAATATTCTCTAGTGTGTATAAAGTAGATAAGAATTGTAAATAAGGCCTAAATAATGCACATAAAATCAATTATCGATGGGAACGGCGTCAGTCATCTGATTAGTCCCATATTAATAGTACCAATATTTTTAATACTCCTCTTCCGCGAATTATTTTATTGACAGTGACTCATCTATTTTTTATATAATCACTTTAACATTTTAATCGATATAGTTCACCATATCGTAAAAGTTTGAATACCCACCCAATTCGTTGGCAATCCTCAGTGTATGTTATGTTAATAAAACATGTCATACTGTACAACAAGGTAATGTTTATTACAAAATGCCAGTACGTATTTTTTAGATTTTGACGCACTCTGTTCTGTTGTGTGTGTCTGCTGTTGAAAACAAACTTCCTAATTTTGTGACTCGCTATGATGACTGAGATGGACCATGTTGATTTATTATTAATATGTTGTTTGGGATGGAAAAAGGGAGTCAATTTCCCAAAAATGCTCAATCAGCAAATAGATTAGTGTGCGCTATGGACAGTATGGCTATGGAATTTACTAACCACACAATCCACATTGGTACATTTCTTTCAAACATTCAGCCAAAGGCTAGTGAAAGTTTTTATCGATGTTTGCAATCCTTATGTGAGCTATCTTAAAGTCATGGTTTGCCGGAGTTGCGTTCAATTTAAATCTCCGAACTGTTGAAGCTGAGATATCCTATGAATGTAGGTTTGTATCGCAGGTTACAATTTAAAAACGGGTGACCAAATAATGAATTAGGTGCTAAATTTTGATTTAATGCTGGGTAAGTTAAAAACAGACATTCCGTCCGAGTGGGACGGAATGTTTGGGATGGAAAAAGGGAGTCAATTTCCCAAAAATGCTCAATCAGCAAATAGATTAGTGTGCGCTATGGACAGTATGGCTATGGAATTTACTAACCACACAATCCACATTGGTACATTTCTTTCAAACATTCAGCCAAAGGCTAGTGAAAGTTTTTATCGATGTTTGCAATCCTTATGTGAGCTATCTTAAAGTCATGGTTTGCCGGAGTTGCGTTCAATTTAAATCTCCGAACTGTTGAAGCTGAGATATCCTACGAATGTAGGTTTGTATCGCAGGTTACAATTTAAAAACGGGTGACCAAATAGTGAATTAGGTGCTAAATTTTGATTTAATGCTGGGTAAGTTAAAAACAGACATTCCGTCCGAGTGGGACTCATTCAAAAATTCAAGGGGGTTCGCTAGAAAACAGGGGGTTTCGCCCGAACCATAACCCCCCCCCCCTGGCTACGGGATATATATATATAGACAGACAAATGAAACACTGCACAGGCACAATTTGATAACAAGTTGACCATTAAAATCTATTGTAAATATTTAGTTAAATCCGTACACTGACTTTGTTTTAAGTTGTTTGTTTTCAATATTATAGCTGTTTCTTTACGATGACAATGTTTTGAAATCGTACTGTATACTCCAAAATTTGTTTTATGGGCAAACAATAGAAGGCTCTGAATTTTTACAAGTTGACCAAGCCTGTTGCTGCATTCATTATTGTTCAGTATTCAAGCAGAGAGCAGCAGGTTGATAATTTGTTTGTCCCACAGCTATTTAGATGCCGTTGTTGGTAACTTTTTTTTTTAAATTGTGAGTGTTTTTCGACCAGTCCTTTGGTTTCTTCTACTAAATAAGAAAATGTGCGTTATTTATTATAACCACATTTTGTTATTTAGATTTGATCAAGTAGCATAGCTCTCAACGAATTTTGTCCTGCAATAAATACATTGTGTTATAAAATTCCTTCGACGGGATTCGAACCTGCGATCTCTAGCTGTCAAGGTGGGCGTCATAACCATTAGACCACCATAAATACGGCTGGAAATAAATAGTAATTAATATAGCCGTTATAACACTGTTAAATTATATATAAATAATAAAGAAATGTAAAACATATACGTGTATGTGCATATTACGTATATAAAGCATATACATTATGCCTATATATTATTCTAAAACAGGAAACTGAGTAGGCCTACACTTATACTAATACAAAATATTGTGAACGCATTATAATCGTTGATCACGCCGTTTTTCACGCGATGAAACGCAATGCTTTTAGCGAAGGTCATGGCGTTGCCAGAATGCTAATAAAAGTAAATTGTAATCTATTTTTATAAATTTGTTTCTTTTTAAATTAAAATAATGCATTTTAATTACCTAACAAACTTTAGATAAAGTATATTTAAAACTCTACAGCAATAAATTCAATAATAACGAAGTTGTCTAAAGAACCGTCTATGACATTCTGCAAACCCGATTTTCTTTCAGTAGGTGGCGGCAAAAGGATTCGATGAAGTAACCAGTAATTTCCTCATCGAACATCGAATTGTTGTTTCTTTGATTAAAATAAAGCACTGGTTTGTTGTACCTAGAAAAATCATGTCTTCAAAGTCTTCACAATCTCAGACTGCAGATACAAGATCTGAATTGTCAGAACTTGTTAAAAGGAGGACGGAAATTGCAGTAAGTTAATTTAGGGCTAGGCCTAGCTAGGGTAGGCCTGGGGCTGGGGGGCCTAGCCTATCCCGCCCTAAAAAGGCCCTATCTAGGCCCTAGGCCTATAGACTTAGTTAGGCTAGGCCTATATTAATATAGGCCTAGGCTACTAGGCTAATACAGTACTAGTAATACCTAGCTAGGCTTCTAGAGGGCTCTCGAAGGCCCAAGCACTAGCCTAGTGCATAGTAGTAGTAGTGTATGTATGCTTACGACGTAGGCTACGTCTCCCTTCCTTATTTATATTATAGGGCCTAGGCTTGCCTAGGCTAGACTAGTTTACTTTACACCACCAAACAAAAAGACAAGATTTTTAAATTAGGCTAGCCTAGACTTAGGCTAAGCCCTCTGGGACATTTAAAATAATGTTTTTATTAATAAACACTGTCTCTAGGCTATTTTAATTTTATTTAATTATTATTACTTTTAAAAATTTTTTATATAAAATTTACTTATTTCAATATCTTGTTAATTATTATTGTTGTTTCTTGGTATTTTTGTTTGTTATATTATACTTAACCACCACTATAATGCGTCGTCTAGTAGTAGTTAGTATGTATAACATATTAATTTACATATAATAAGCAACTCCACTTACAGAGTTAGTAGAAATGAACTGTCCTACGGATGCTTGGGTAAACAATGTAATAACAGATCTGTCTTGTATGGTGCTGATTATTCAAGTGCCAAAAACCAGTATTCAAATTTTGTATGCACTAGTGTTGTACGCTACACGCTGATGATGATTATAGAAGTCCATCAGCGTGAACACTAGTGCATACTGTGTTAGCAACAGGTGCTACACTATGTCATTATTAATGATTGTTAATAATTTTTATTAAAAAATAATTATTAATAATTGTCTTAATTTATTTTAGTTATGATTGCAGATCAGATTTTCTGAAAAATTGGATCAAAATATGTCCAATACCATGAAGTTGATTTTAGTTGTTATAAAAATGGGTCTGATTGTCCAATAATGTTTGTCCAATTTTCTACGAGTCTAATTATTTGTAACTACGAAAAGCTAGACAGAATGCGAGGCAATTATTTTTTGGAAATTTTATGCTCTTTTAGTAGCACTGTACTTTCGTCAACTGTGTTTTTAAACATTTTTATTTTTTCAACAAAGGAAACACTTGCCAATTTGGAACGCCAAATTTATGCATTTGAGGGAAGTTACTTGGAAGATACTGCACTCTATGGAAATATCATCCGTGGATGGGATCGCTACCTTACTAACAAGTTTGTATATAATTTATTGAAGATAACAAAAAATATTTATATGTATATTATTTTTCTGTACAACTGACTTACCAGAGTGGCTTAGCTCAGTTGGCTAAACCGGTGGTAGCCACTGTGTTTGTGCTGAACCATGAAGATCTATAGGTCCCCGGTTCAATTCCATCACTGACCACCGTCTTTCGGGTGAGACGTTTAAGCCGTTGGTCTTGTGCGTTAAAGGACGCAGTACACTCTTCAGAAAAGGGTAGGGGATTGTCTCCCGGTGTACTGCCAATTCACAACCAGAAGGACCCCCCATAGGTAACAAATTTTGGACTTAAGCTACATTTACATTAGACACAATAACGACATGATCACATCATTTATATTCTTCTTTATCGTGTCGTTGTTATCACGTCTAGTGTAAATGTAGCTTTAGTGCATTATCCTTGGTGTGATTTACCCAAAAATACTTCTACCATTTCAAAATGGTAACCACATGCACGCACGCAATGAGTAAGTTTTGCAGTGATGTTTCCCATTCCTAAAACTCAGACATTTAAATTGCTGTATATTGTATACATTGAAAATAAAATTTTAAATATTCTACTTATAGGAACACAAACAGCAAAACAGATAAAAGGAACAGAAAATTCAAGGAAGCAGATCGTTTGTTTTCCAAATCGTCTATAACATCACACCTGGTAAGTCTACTCTTACTTGAACCAAACACCAGGTAAGGAACTGTTTGGTGAGTCGACTGGCCAAGCGTTAAGGCAGGTGCTAACTGAAACCTTAACATTGGCGCTTGGTCGAGTTGCTCCTCACCCAGGATTCGGTTGGTAGAACCAAGTATTAACGGACAAGGACTGAAAGTGGCGGTCTAGTGTACACATCTGGCTCCTGTGAACTTCAAAGAACCCATTGCATCTTTTGGAAAAGCAGGGGGTTACCCCAATGCTATGGTTCATTTCAGCCCCTGTCATTGTGGAATGATGTGGACATGAAGCTACTATAAGCGCCTCTTTACGGCGGCTCCCAGTCACGAACCATGCTCATACGCAACTCAGCACAATGACGCTGCGAGTTATGGGTTATTCTACCTTTACATATACTGGCAGGGGATTTTATCTCTGTGTTTTTTCTCCATCAGTTAGGTTGAAGTGTTATCTAGTAGCATGTGAATGTTTTATGTTTAATGTACTAATATTCTAACATTTTTTTGTCAAAAAAGCCCAGTGCCACTCAGATAAATCTTGATGAGCAGCAGTATTTTGAGTGTGCCAAAATGTACATATTCCAAGTTGTCCTCATTTGAGTGCATGAAGTCTTCACTTACCAATTTGCATGTGGTCATTTTATTTAACCACAGTCGTATTTCTGTGCACAGTATTTAAATGCAAATAGCTATATATAAATATTTAACTATTCACCCACAGCAAGGCAGGCTAAAAAATACTCAACAGGGAACATAAGAGATTGCACAGGGCTTGTTTACTTTTCTGAATTGTTTTTTATTTTTTCCTTTCGGTTGCAGCGAACCATTGAGTGGCCCATCGGGTGTGTTTTTCGCACCGGTGTGGCCCCTGTTCGCTAGTAAAAAAAAAGAAAGAAAACATAATATTTTATGCAATTTTTTAATTACAGGCATGCAGTGGTTTGTCAGATCAATCATCAATTGATAAACGTAAGTGAGATACTGTAAAGTATATTTTTCCATTAATTAAAATAACAAGATACCGTTTTTCATGATTTCTGCATGAAAATTCTGTAATAAAGCAATGTATGGCGCCCTCTTGCAATTACAATTACTTTGGAACTTTGACATCTCATTTACTTGCAAATTCTGGAACAACCACCATGGTAACAACTAGGACGCCCTTCCTTGATTGTTTTCTGCGTGAATGGACACTTGCTTCTATTTTGTTACATGTAAACCGCGGGGAGTGCTATCTTGTCATAATCTTTGCAGTCAATAAAAGACATTTACTAAATACAGTGCATGCTCCAATTTGAGACCCCTCAAATTCCAACAAGACCATTTCTAACAAAGAACCAAATAAGAATCTTCAATCCCTGAGACCACCCCAAATTTTTAGGTCCCAAAGGTGATCTTGGATTGGAGGGCGAACTGTATTGTAAACAAGAATAACCCGAAAATAAGATGCTGTAGCCAAAATGGTGTTTGTGAAAAATATACAGGTACCGCTCAAAAGAAAGACCACCCCCACTTGAAGACCCCATTTCTGCGGCCCTAAATGAACACCAATCTTAACAAGTTTAAGAATATTTTTTCTAATTGAAGACCAAAGCTGCTAAAGACTACGAAAACTCTGATAATCTGATATGCCCATATTTGGGTGTAATATTACATCATCATGCCCATATATGGGACATTTGTTAGTGTAGACAGAGCATTAAATACATATTGTTGTTTTGACAGGTGAAGCTCGAGAGTCTGTTAGTGCTTTGGCTGATGTGTCACAAGCGAAGTTTGAGATGACGGACCCTGATATGCTTGATGGAGATACCATAGCACATAGCAATAATACAAGTGAACACAGGGATAGTAGTCATAGTAGCAGTAAGAAGAGCAGTTCACACAAGAAAAGGAAAAACAAGAACAAACACAGGTGAAATTAATTATTAAATATAATAAATTCTACTGTACATATGTGACAGGCTCAGCTTTATGTTAAAAGATTGAAATTTCTAAGTGGATCTTATTTTACATGCCAAATTGTTATGTTATCCATTAACAATTTGTAAGTTGAATTTTATCGAAGTTGAACAATTTTTCAATGCCATTTTGGATTTGACTAAAGGCAAGTTCAACTGTACTAAATTAATCTTTAGTTAAATGGGTGTCAAAGTTAGTGGTGCCTCTAATTGAAGGATGAACTTTAATTTAGATTTATAAAGTTTTTTCTTTATATCATGAAGACTTTGTAGATTATTATTTTATAATACTGTACTTATATGTTTAGTGATCTGTCCTATTTTGTTGACTATGAACTACCATTGGAACTTTTGCAGAATAATATACAGTATTTATGACCATATCAATAATGTTATCTTTCAGATTAGAAGTGAAACTAAAGAAAGGCAGACATAGTGATGACTATTGAGTATGCAGTGGAGTATTCATCGTTGAATTGTACCAGGAACATGGACTGAATATGTGCGTGTATGTTTTTGTGACTGTCGTTTTGTGGGACCTTAGCCAAAAGGTACATTAAGATCATAAGATTCAGGATGGAGAACTAATGAGAGGATTGAGTCTTGATGATACATATTCTGCTAACTGCTGAGGAAACATTTAATAATAAGTCAAGCACAACTAATTCTGATTTGTATCTAAATAAAGCTTGGTTTCCATACAATTGTTACCATATCACTGACACCTTTCGATGATGCTGATTGATTGGTCGCTGTAGCGATAGTGTAGCGATTTTAAGGAAACTTGGCTTCACAATTATAGAGGTTAGCAAGGAGATTAATGATAATTATATACAGTACTGTACACTACATGCATTTTTACTAGTTGGCAGGTTGCTACCCATTACAATTGTGCGATTTTTATATGCTTACTACTACTGTAGTAGTAAGATGTATAGGAACACAGTGTACAAGGTACCCAAATAATAGAATAAGCAGAGATCTAACAATTATTTAATTTTATTCAATTTCTTTATTAAATGCTTAAATTCATGTAAATAATACAACTATTCATTATTTTCATTTGCATCCATATATAAAGTATTTGGTGCAATGGAAAGATACAAATTCGTTTGGTTTTGTACTGTATATTATTGGTTATTTGACATCATTATTTTAGTGTCTGTTTTCTAATAATAAATATTTGTATCTTTAATTGCACTCTCTTGATTAAATTATGTAAAATGTTCAGTAGAGTTATCCAAAATAAAGAACATTTAAACAACAAACATCTTTTCTCTAAAAGAGAAATATTTTGAACTTATCCCTCTTTCTAATTTCTTTAACTACGTAGAGTGATATACTAGTTCTCTGGAAGTTGCCAGGTTATTGGCAATTTTCATTTCAAATTTCACAAAAATGCTACATATAACAGGTTATATTTTAAAAAAAATGTTCTCCCCCCCCCCCTCCCTCTCCAAAATACCTCTGGGACATTCATGTTGCCTCCAACCACTGGTCATGCAGTCACACAATTTTTCCAGCCCTCCTACTTATTATATTCAATAAAAATTGGATATTCTTTAATTATAATTTATCAAATTGTAGGCTTATGTATGAATTATTCTCCATGATTTGATAGCCATAATTGACAGGTCAATACAACTGACCAATGAAAACAAGGTCAGGAACATGCGTATGTCTTACCTGGGCAATAATATCCACAGGCAGGGTTTAGCAGAAAGGTCCCATCAGCTGATTAGAGCTCGAGCAATTTATCTCTGGCAGATTCAGGTTTATGGCCAAGGGAGTGGGAGTGGTTTTCTGGTCCCAGAAAGACAGGTTGGGGCCATATGCTTTGAGAGAGGGCCTTTGGTCCTGCCAAAAACACTTCTGCTGACTATTAAATAGGTAACTGAATTTCTTATACAATACTTTTTATAATTGATGTAAAAAAGTACCATCAGTTTCCTGTTTTTTTTTTCTCATATCAATACAAAAAAAATTTACATTTTATTTATAAAAACAAAATAAATCATTTCAAAACACTGACAATAAGACATTAATGGATAACGTAGGATAACCCTTTAAGCTGGTAGGCTTGTTTTAGAAGGGGTCAACAAAAACTAAATACAGTGATATAAATGATATATACATAAAGAAAAAAATGTAAGTACATACAATTTATATTTAATGCACCAAATTTTAAATGAACAAGCCTTTAGAAAGGAATAAATGGTGCTCACGGAAAAGATTGAATTTCAGGAATTTATCATTTCCATACGAGAGATTTAATTTCTTCTGATGTAGTTTTAGTTGACATTACACAAAATCCAAATCATCCTGAAAAAATAATGCATTAATATGACTTTCATTGTTTTGGTTTTGATGTTATATGGTGGTTTGAGAAACTAAGTTTCTTCAGCATTACATCCAGAGTCTGACTTTGCAGAATATCCTGATGTAGATGGACGCATTGTACCAATTGGGATTCAAACCAAAATCCTTCAATTACATTCAATTGCTTTACTAAATGTATGTAACAATTTTGCATTGCTTACATTTTAACATTCACAGTAATAATAATACTTTATTTTGGATTTGCAACAGACTTTTAAGTGTTGAGGAAATTAATTTACACTATTATATTTTTTTTTCATTATTTTATTTATTTCATTGTTTTATTTTATTTCATTACTTTTTATATTTCGTTATTTTATTTTATCATTTTTTTAAATTCCATTATTTTATTTATTTCATTATTTATTTTTTGATATTACAAAAATAATGTAATATTTTACCAATGGCTGCATAGTAACCTCGGCCCACGCAGAAGTCTGGTTTTAATTAATAAAAGCATTTTTGGCTACAGCACCATTGATGCTCTCGTTTTTTATTTCATTATCTTAATTTATTTCATTAATTTATTTTATTATATTTTTTAAATTATTTTATTTTCAAATAAAAGCTGATTTAGCCTTAAAGTTGAAGTTATTTTATTTTAGCATATCATTAAAAATATAAAATATTGTTACAGAACTCACTATATAGAGACTGCTTATATTGCTTCACACCATTCCATTTGGCAAGGAGGTAGAACATAATTGGTAGCAAACAAACGAACAGCGAAATAGCAATCACTGCTTCTTTATTCTTATCATGAAGATTACAGTGGTAATCGTGGCTCCAAATTTTCAGTGTAACATTCATCTGAATATTAAAGACAATAAATACTTGGTGAATAAATGGAATTTCTGTAGGCTGTTAAGATGGTCACTATAACAGGGTTCATTTGGGATAGAATACTACTGTAAGCAATAATGACTTAATTGATCAGCACATTCCAGAAATCATTATTCATAATTTTATTTAACTCAAATAAATGAGTGATAGGTAACGAAGGGAACTGGTCCATGTACCTATCAGAATAACATAACAATTCAATAATTAATAGCACAGAATCATAATTATAATACAATTAACAAAGTTAATCCAGTAATTACCATCAATAAAAATAAATAAAAAGAAAATTAATTAATAAAAAAAGAATAAGTAAATAAATAAGTAAATATGCCAGTGGCTTAGCGTAGGAGGTCGAGGGCAGTTTTAAAAAAAGAGACAGGATAAGCATGTATCAATTGGAAGTCTGTTCCAAGATGCCTGATGGGGAGGGGGTGGGTCTGAAAACAGCAGGCCTAGGAACACCACCCCCCTTTGACCTAGGAAAAACTGCAATTTTGGGGTAATGTAAGCTTTTGTGAGACATTTTAGCATGTAATCAATATTCCTTATTATTGATCTGACGAGTCATGTCCAAAGGGAGTTACAATCCTGCTTCCAATAATGATCCATCTGCATATGACGTCGTCAAATGGAATAATGCCTAATAATATTCTAAAGGTTGATATTTTTTTCTCATTTATACGGATTTAATAGCAAAATAATATTAATAAGCTACATTACAAACCTTTTCTAACACATCAACACACAAATAGCTTGGACTACCCAGGTCTGTGTATTGAATGTACATTTTTCTGTAAAGCTCCTTACATTTGATACACAAAGGACTTAACGAATCATTACTGTGGCTTGCCTGAGTGATATTCACCTGAAAATATCAAGATTATTATAAATAAATAATGACACAGATATTTAAAGGATTGCGTTGTAGACAGACTAATAGTAAACACAGCAAGTAGTTCACTGGGAGACAATCCCATATGTATTCTTTTCTGAAGAGTGTACTGCATACTTTAACATGACATGGGCTACAGTGCACACAGGACCAACGGCTGAAATGTATTATCTGAAATACAATGCGCTATTGTAACCTGCACTTCAGCCCTCCGGCTGAAATACACAGACAGCAGAGATGGGAATTGAACCAGGGACCAAGAGATTGCCACGGTTCAGCACACACACAGTGGCTACCACCAGTTCAGCCGACTGTGCTAGGCTGCTCTCATGATATAAATATTGTCTTAAATCATCGGTGAATGCATCCTGGAAGTTTTGCCAAGGTCACAAAGTGCCAATTTGTGATTTTGGCCTGAGGGGGGATGGTTCAAAGTGTTCCCATGTCTATTGTGGCGGTTGTGTAAAATACACATCTTTGAAGCTCCACTATTTACACATTTAAATAGTTTCACACTTGGTTAGAGTTCATTTTTAGTCCCTGCAGGAGAGCAAGTGTTTTTTTTTTGTTTTTTTTTGCAACAACTGCATCCACCAATAATCATCAAAATAATGTTTCATTTTACCATTGAAAAATTGTTGAAACATTCCTTCGTTTGATTGTAGAATTGGAAAAATTGTCTAGTTTCCTCGTTCAGTGCGTAAGTGTCGTTGAATTTAACAGTATCAAAGCAATCTATAATATACAAGAAAATTATATTTATTCATTAAAACATAAAGCCCTGCCTAGAATATCAAATTTTATTGGGACAAAAACATGCGAAATGCCTAAATATAATAATGATGACATCACACTATGACCATATATAGAAACATCATGACTATTTATGGACATAGTTTTTTATCGAATCAAATTTGATAGCCTAGACAGGGCCTAGAGAAAATATTTTATTAGTGATCAGTAAAATCTGTATAGGCATTGAATTGCTCATTTTGAAGATCATTGATTTTTACTGATCTTATTGGCCCCTCCCCCCCAATCACTGTTAATTTTAGATACCATTGTAAGTACGGTAATTATAATACATAAACCCAGAGCAGAAAGTTTGATCATTGAAAAATATCAACCTTTCTATATTGTCAAATAAATTATAAATTCAATCTTTTTATTAACTTACTAATTATTATTATATTATTAAAGAATGCTATTCTCTATACCACGAGGGAAGGCGCCAGGATTTGCCGACGGGGGTTCGATGTCCCCAACAGGCATATAATCAATTAAAATCTGCTGTACGTAGAAAATACATAAAGTTTTCTTTCCGACAATTTGTAGTGTTTCTTCCCGTGCAGGCACCTCCCCTGTACTACTGTTTACTTACTATCACAGTTGCCAGCATTCCACAAGTTTTTGAGGAAATCATTGGTCTTGCTTATCACTTGTAAATAATCAGATCGCAATAAATGACGACTGCACCTGTGCTCATTCTAGTAATAATAATAATTTATTATTTTTATTTTGCACAAATTCCATCAAGAAATGTGTTGCATTACAATAAATAAAATAGATAATACAAATTTACGAAGTAAAGGAGATACATAGTTATATATGTGTATATGTATGTATGTATATATATATGTCCCGCCAGAGGCATTTTATTACACAATTTCTTTATTCGTTTATTTACAGGACTACATTCGTTGAGAGCTATGCTACACGATGTATTATTATGTCCCTTTATCCG